TTTTCTTCCAGTAAACGTTTTCGATTTGCAAGCTTTTGATGCATTAGAGGGGAATAAGCTACAAGGGGAAGTTATTTAAGAAAGTGACGAACCACAAGAGAGAATCTTAAGTCCATTCTTGCCTTCGTCTGGCAAATAGTTCCTGGTCGGTGTCGCCGACCACAATGTTCACAAGGCGGAGCCCGTTCGTCAGCCTCTTCTGGAGCCTTGTTGGAATCGCAGTCCTTGCTGCCATGCGCTGGGGACTGGACTTCTCCTAGGGTATTTCGCTCTTCGAATCCACCTGGGTCAGCGCCTGTTTGAAGCACATCATTAGCCACTTGCTGCACGTGTGAAGTTCCGCCGTCGGTTGGTGCTGGAGTAAAACCAGGCGTCAGCCCCTAATTCTGTGCTGGAGTGAGTCCCATATCCACATCCATTGTTACGCCGCCATCGTTTACCGTCAGACCACCCAGGGCCACATGGCCCGTCTCTACACTAGCTACGCCCATCATCGTATTGCCCTCCGGTCCTGGTGTTTGCCAGGACGAAGCTCCGCCGGGTGTGTTGGCTCCTAGCGTTGCTGCCGTAAGTGCATACGCTTCTTGCTCTTGTTGTAGTTCTGAGGCGAACTTTTTTCGTTGCTCTTTCGCTAGCTCGGCAACTCGCTGCCGGCGTAAGTCCCTTTTTGTTTCAGACATCTCGCCCGAAGCAGGCGGCTGCGCAGACTTCTTCATCTTTCGTTATTGATATTCAATGGTTAGAATTCTACCTTTAATAAGAAGACGACTACTTACTGTAGGGAGAAAGGGGCACAGTAGGTTTCGCAATCAACAGAGAGGAGGGAGACAGCATGTAGGGCTCACCACACAGAGAAAAAACCGAAGAACTCTCTTAGCAACCACCGACCACCTACTACTCACTGCCAACGGACTACCAGACTAGCTTCACCTTAGGATACCTACCGACCAGTCAACTACCTACTCAAGTTAGTCAACTACCTAAACACAACTACTCATGTACCGAGGAGATTAGTGCTACAAAGACGCTTTTCTCTCGTTCAGATTTTGCTCGCTTTGGGAGGACAACGCTGGAAGAGTTTCTTTGCCCACTTTTGTTTTTTCACTTGGCAAGCCTATAAAAGGAACACGGGCACTTCTTAAATGAGTACCAACACACTCACACTGAAGGAGTACTGTAATTTTTTTATAAATTGTCTGTGACTAGAGTTCCACAAAAACACCATCTGAAAAAATTATCATGTTCGTATCCTTCTTGCTAGAATAGTAAACATCAAATTTTTCTTGTAACAGTTGGAGTTCATCCTTTAAGGGGATGGTAGATACGCATACGAGTGCTGTACAAATGTCTTTATGACAATGATACAGGCGCTATGATGTATGAGCATATGCTGCGGGTAGATCTTTTGGATCATTTATCCGCAGAATAAACGTTAAAAGAGCAGCTGCTCTTTATGATGTAGCCTGATCGAACTTCATCGATAGGCTTTCTTCTCGCTGTCTTTCTCCAGTAGTTCCTACTTGTAGGAAGCATTTTTTCTTCTAGCAATTTCAATCATCTTCTTCTTCAGTCCCAACCTCATCTCCTCTGCTTTTAATCTTCAACTTATCCCCACACTTCCAAGTCTCCCCCAAGTAAGCGGTCTCAGTCGTCCTCATTCTGACGCTTGAGGTACCCAGGCTCGTGTTTCGTAGAGAAACTCTCTAGTTCTGGAGAAAATATCTCCTTCAGGAGCGCGAGTAGTTGACGGCAGAGAGCAGAAACCGCATCTGCGAAACTCCTCCTCGTTCGAACAAATTTCTTGATACAAGGCTTATTAGAATGATAGGCAAATGAATGAGTGAATTATAATGAAGGAATACATAATCACACTTTACAGGAAAAAGAATGAGATAAGAGAATCGACCTTGAGTAGTTTGCCGCCAACAAGGGCCGTTACTCATCAAAAAACCCACTCATAACTGACGTTTTTCGTGATGAGATTCCACGCGTCCACCGGGCTGCTAGACTCCGTCTCTCTTCTGACAGCAGCTTTCGTCCTCAAAATACAGTTCTGGACAAGTGGTTGCACAAACTTCGTGATGTGCGGGTACAAAAAAAATTAGAAGAAGTAGTTAGTAGTTGTGTCCATGTGTACTTTACTAGTTGTAAAGAGCATAGACCAAGTTACCTAGTAGAATTGCCATAATGCATGATCCAAACACCATCGGCTTGTTTGTGCACTCCTTCTGCGTGTAATCCAAGGTCAGAATTGAGGCGATGAATTCCAGCTCCATCCATTCGCATTAGAAGTGACGTAGTTGGTTCCCACATAGCCTCGAGGTCAATGCATCTTAATTCAGACTTTGTTAATTCAGTAGGAAAAAAAGTCATTTTATTGAAAATAGGAAAGCTTCATAAGATCAAGATAAGGTTCCAGTTGCGACGCTCGTTAGGTTCCACGTAAACTTCTTTCCACTTTTTCCATCTCGTTAACAAATATACTTCAATCCATCGGTTCACATCGTCTGCAGTCAAATCTCCCGTGAATTTCATAGCTGTAATGTTCTCCAGAAGCTCCTGTAGAACGTTGTTTAAGAGGATGAAAAACAAAAGACTAAGTAACCAAAGTAGTATTAGTATTCTAAATGAACTAAGAACTTACAGATTCAGAAGCGGATACCGCTATCCGCATTGTAATATTTTAGAAGTAATAGACTATTTATGTTACATAGCGGGAAGCGGAATCCGCTCTGCAAGATAGCAGAGCTATGGATATAGATTTACAGAGCGGGATCCGCTTTCCACACTGTATAAC